TTTAGTTATTATGGGTTTTATTGGGTGCCACAATATTGGGACTTATTATGCAAAGGCTCAGCGCACGCTTAGGTGTAGTTACTGGATTACATTTAGCAGAAATGTGTTATAGACAGTACAAAAAAGTACCTCGACTTATTTTATGGATAATGATAGAAATAGCTATTATAGGTAGTGATATGCAAGAAGTAATAGGGACAGCTATTGCCTTATATTTATTAACATCTGGAAGGTAAGTTACTAATTTAAAAAAAATAAAGAAAATGTTTAATAAATACATTTAGTATGTTCTAAAATATGTATTATTATACTGAGAAATTGCATGAAGACATTCACAACTGTAAAGTTTATACAAGAATTGTCAAATAGAAGAAGAGATTTATTATTGTAATTTAGGTATTATGTATTTCAGACTTCCTTTATGGGGTGGTGTACTTATTACTATAATAGATACATTTACATTTCTATTTTTGGATAAATATGGCTTACGAAAATTGGAATTTTTCTTTGGATTGTTAATTACAATTATGGGAATTACTTTCGGTTTTGAGGTAAAAGAAATTTACAATATATTTCTTATGAAATAAGCGTAGTCTTTTTTTACTTATAAATATATTTATTAATATGTTTTTTTTACATATGTTTTTTAAATATGTTTTTTACATATTACATATGTTTTATTTTCAGTATATCATTTCAAAACCACCTCAAGTTGAAGTTATAAAAGGAATGTTTATACCATGGAATATGGAATATGATAGTAAAATATTGCTTCAGGCTGTAGGAATTATTGGTGCTGTTATTATGCCACATAATTTATATCTTCATAGTGCTCTTGTGAAAGTAAGAAAAAACTGCAAGCTGGCATTTTAGAAATACAAAATCAAAGATATTTTAAATATTATTAAAGAAAATAGATATCTTAACACAATTTGTGATATATTATTATAAATTCTGATATTAATAACTAATAATATATGATTTCACACATTTTTTAGTCAAGAGATATAGACCGAAGACAATCTGCCAAAGTTAAAGATGCAAATATGTATTATTTTATTGAAGCAAGTATTGCACTTCTTGTTTCCTTCATTATTAATGTATTTGTGGTTTCTGTTTTTGCACATGGTCTTTACAATAAAACCAATGAAGATATTGTAAGTTTTCTATTATAATTGTTATTTACTTGAATTTATTCATTGAAATTCTGAAAATTAAATTTAATCTCTAATATTATTTTAGTATGATACCTGTAAAGCAAGTCAAATCGACATAGATAGTAACTTATTACCTGTGAGTAAAATTATTTATTAATATTAAATATTTCTTTTGATATGATGACAATTTATTTACTCTATCTTAGAGAAACAATATGACATTTGAAGCAGACTTATATAAGGGTGGTATATTTCTTGGTTGTTCATTCGGGATGGCAGCGATGTATATTTGGGCTGTTGGTATCTTAGCTGCTGGTCAATCTTCTACAATGACTGGAACTTATGCAGGACAATTTGCAATGGAAGGATTTTTAAATTTACAATGGGCTCGATGGAAGCGAGTACTTTTTACTCGGACGATTGCTATCGTCCCAACATTTTTAGTAGCATTCTATGCTAATATAGAAGACATGAGTGGCATGAATGATATTTTAAATGCTATTATGAGTCTGCAATTACCCTTTGCTACTTTACCAACAGTAGCCTTTACTAGTAATCCACAAATAATGGGAGAATTTACAAATGGAATGTAAGTTTTAGTTAAATATAGAATATAATATTAATATTTGGTATATACATACACACGCATTATATATCTTTTTTTTTTTTATTACAGACCAAATAAGATCATTGCCACTCTTATATCTGCTTTAGTAATAACAATAAATATTTATTTTGTAATAAATACTGTAGATGAGGTTCCTCATGATTGGCCAGTATGGCTTGGTATTGCTATATTTGCAGTTTTATATTTAGCTTTTTGTATATATTTAATAATTCATATGGCAGTAAATATGGGTGCTGGAACTATTAATAATCATTGGGTATGTATATCAATATATCACATATATACACCTTTGATTATTACTTACGTTGTTTCAATATATTTATATTTTAGTTCATTGCAAAATATATTGGTGGTCCCGTTGATACAAACTTTGGTCTATCTAATCCTGCTATGTACGCAAGGTAAGATATATGGCATTATAATATTTTCAAATGCTGTCAAAATAATAATTGATATTAATAACTAAACCATCATTTTATATATTTCGAATCAAATTGTATATATGCTTTTAAAATGTATAATATGTATTTACTCTTTTCTATGTATAATACGATTTTATTACATTTTATATAAAAATAATAAACATTGCTTAATGGCATGCAAAGGCTTTTGGGATTAGTAATTACTAATATTTAACACAAATTTAAGAAAAATATATGACATGTATAATGCATTTATTATAAAATATCTATTAACTTGTTATATATTAATAAAAGGATATGACAATTAAAGAAAATAGAAAATAATTTTTCTTTTTTAATGTGCCTTGTAAAATAAAGCAAATTTAATTTCATATATAATTATACAAGGGTGAAGGTTATTGCTACTAACATTTTAAAGAGAAATATGTTATATATAAATTATATATCCTTTTTTAATCCTTAAAAGATATATACTTGTATGTTTAATACAAAAGATTTTTTTATAGTGTTTAATATGTCTTAAAAAGAATGTTTATGAAACTAATACTAATATTGATACTAATGTAAATAAACACTTATTATTAAGATCTTATTATATGTCTAATAATTCTACTATTTGATTTTCTTGCACATTGTCCATTGAACTTCTTTTTAATTTGCATATTATATTAACATATCATTGTAACATTAATAATTATTAAAGATTATACTGAAGTAAATTATTTGTTGAGAAAAAATGTTATGAGAAGAATGTTAAAAATTTAACATTTTTGTTTTTAATCTCAGTTTCTTCAATACATCGGAAACATCATTAAGTACCTAGTTCAAGCGTAATCAACTGTATGCAATGCAACGATTGATATATGTTTCATATTCATCAAATATGAATATCATTTCGAAAACTATGCTTTTATTATTGTGATATCAGCATGGCATTGTCAATGGTACGTATATGTCAAATACGTATATGTATTAACATAACGATCACACAAATTGTCCAAACATCAAGACATGTTTATTGTTTGCAAAAATAAATATCATTGCATAAAAACAATTATATTCATAAATGTCAAATTTCATATCTATAAGCTTTAATATGTTAAATTTTCCTTTTTGTTTATTTGTTTATTTGTGTTTGTTTTGGCAAAAAAAACTTGTGTATGTATGTAAAGTAATTAACCAAATACTATTTTTATTGCACGCAAATTTTTAACCACCAAAAGTATGGGTTTGCAGCGTTGATTTTATTGTCTATTTACGATGATAAAGGTACGAATGATTTAAAAAGTGATTTAAAAAAGAAAATATTTTCTAACAAATTATATATACTTCCCATTCATTTCATATTTATTTTATAATAACAATACTTCATTTTAGGTCAAATCCAACATTCACAATAAAAGAAGAATTAAATGAAAGCTTTGTATCTATACCACATTTTTGGTAATTATTAATAATAAATACTATTATATAACAAATTTTTAACTTAAATATAATTTTCTTAGTCATTAATATTTGTAATATAATAATATATTCTCTCTCTTTCTCTTTCTTTTTCTCTCTCTCTCTCTCTCTCTCTCTCTCTCTCTCTCTCTCTCTCTCTCTCTCTCTCTTTCCCTCCTTTCTACAATAAAGTATATATATTTTCAAAAATAAATAAAAAATGTATTCTTTAATTAGATATATATTTTTTCTTGTATAAATTTTGTTAGAATGACTATTATTTTATTATTATTTAATATGTTATTTATAAATAGTATTGAATATCAATTTAATTTGTAAATAATACAATACAGCCATATGATAATAAATATAATATGATAAATAAATATAATAAATACATTTTTTCCAATTATAGCTAACAATAATATATTATAGCTAACAATAATCGTTTATATTGAACGAAGTTCTTTTATATATTTTTATTATGCAAATAAAAATCTATAATTTTTTATCAAATACATATGTAACATCGTATAATAATAATAATAAAAATTTTTAAATTTTCGACGCAGTGTTATGTTAGCAATTTATGATACATTAATATTTAAAATAAGACGTTTTATTTATATACACTGAAAAGTATTTTCTTTTTTTTACATTAATTTAAATAATGTACTGATAAAATTACAATATTCATTACATTTTTTATTAATAGCAAATAAAACCCCAAAACAGCTTAAGTAATATAGTTTTCATTAATATCATTAATCAAAATGATAATATCCACTAAAAATTAAACATACTGTAATTCTCCTATGACATTTATAACAATACGTGAATTATGTTATGTATTACTTGCTATTTTCTCTTTAAAATTCTTTTTTTTGGTAAAACAATTTCATTTTTCCTATTTGCATGCAAGAAAAGTAACATAAATACATAAAATCAGTTTGAAGAAAAAAATACATTAATTCTTCATTCAATTAAATGCATATGAACTTAACATTTGTATGTATATTAATTATATAGTATATTATATAGTAACATAATACATCAAGTTGTTACTTTTCTTGTTTACAAGTGATATATATATATATATATATATACATATATATAAACAATCACCTTTGTATATACAAAGTACAGACAAAGATATTAGAAGTGATTAATACAAAGTTTATTACACATATTATTGTGTAATATTTTATCTATTATAGAAATAAAATTTTTGTTGTTGTCTTCATATATAATAAAATAATTGCATTAGAAAAAACTTTACTATCTTTGTCGAAACATCAATAATACATTTCTATGGCCATTTTTCACTCCGATGATAGCAAATATTCTGTATTATATTGTAATTGCAATCATTATGTATATAATTATATAGGATCTGTTACTAATTTGAGATAATACTGATTTTGCTCACGTTTATAGTGCCGGTAAGTAAGTACAGTTACTAACGAAACTATAAAAACAAGCATCATTATTGATGTTCTCCATATTGCTGTTAAAATGTTAAAAACAGTTTAATCTTTTATAAATTAATTATAAACACATTATTATTTGTAGGAGCCACTTACCAACAAGAGTCTTTGTATTCATATCATATTCATCATTTTCCTGTTTTATCATGCACTCTTTGTGCCAATCTTCTGGTATAAAGTCTTTGGTTAATTTAATAAATTTATTCAAGGGACATAAAGTAATGCAACCAGGAAGAGTTAATAGATTTGGTTCTTCTGTAGTATTTTTGTATGAAATCTATAAAAAGTTAAATAACTTAACATTAAATATTAATTATAATACTGTAAATATTAAATGTTAAACTTTCTTTTCTTGGCAGTATTAGATTATAACATTTATAACAGCTTTAGAAACATATTTATATAAAACTTATACCGTGACAAAGTATTCTTGTTTAGAATTTACTCTTAATTCTATTAAAATTGTGGCTGTGTATGGAGGGCAATGCGGATAAAATAAATCTAAAGTCATTAACATATTTGCCACTGTTTCATCATGAGCACTATACATCCAAACTTTTCTATCAGGTACCAAAGCATTTCTAGATTTTTTTTCCATGTGATCTATTATCTCTCCAAACAATAAACCTGTTAACAAAGAAAGAATAAAACATAAAATCACATGAAGTATAAAAACTTTACTTATGCTTATGTTAGTAAAAAGGTATACTTTACCTATCTTCAATTTTTGTAATATTTTATTGTATGCACTTATTGTAAAACTTTTTGCAGCAAGTGGTTTTAATTTATCCGGGAATACAGATTTTGTCCATTCAGGTAAAGTTTTATTATATAAATCCTGCAATAAAAAATCTGTTATTATATCAACAACTTAAAAGAATTACTTTGGTAAAAATATTTATGTATAATTACTTCAATGTACAATGTATCATATATATGATTAACATCTTTTAAAGATGTAACATTCATTCCTGTTTTCTCTGTCAAATAATCATACAAATGCTTATTGTCTTGATTTATTTTTTTTATTTCTGGAGATTCTAATACTTTATCCAATTCAAAATTATATCTTTGGCAGTATTTTTTTCCTGATAAAACATTATCTTCTGATTCTGGTACAGTATGTATTGGAATAGGCATCCAATGGATAGCATTCCATATTTGATTTCCTTTAGGTGGATATAAACCAGCTAAATTTGTTTCAGCTGACATTAAAGTACGATCTACATCTGTACTGCGGATATAAATGTCATACGGACTGTACAAGTCACTTAAAAGATGAGAGTACCTGTTCCTAAGCCACTGGCCCATATAAAAGTGTTGACTTTTCCCCAGCTGTACAAACAATGTAAGAAACAATATAATACTACAATTATACCAAAATAATATAACTCATACATAAGTATGTTACATGTACAATTTATAATTTATAATTTATAATTTATAATTTATAATTTATAATTTATAATTTATAATTTATAATTTATAATTTATAATTTATAATTAGTATATTTTTTCTACTTACATTTGTTAGCTGTCCATAAGGTACTGGCCATAATGACTCATTCTTATATGGATCAGTTGGGTATGGTTCAATAGGAGTTCTATCACCATGCCTATAAAGCTTATAAAATCATAATATCACATAAGTATTTTTACTCAAATAATTCAAATAAATAACATAAATAAAATGCATAAATGATAAAATCATTCCAAAAATAAAATATATATATATTTCTTAATAAACATATATATATATACATAACTTTTATATAACTTTTTACTTACGACATTTGCGAAAATAACAGTTCCCAAATTAACATTTTTATCAGCAAAACTCAATATAACGAAATTTATAAACACAGTAAATGATCCAATGAACATGGTATTCTTATTTTAATTTATCTAACGTTCTTCAATTAACTGTAAACAATTTGACTTTTAAATTAAATATACCATCTGTTATAACAATTTATTGTAATTTGTGAAATATCATGATACTTTTTAATGAAGTTTCGTATTTATGTCCAAACTATTAGTAAGTGAATGGTCAGTACTCATTGTTATCGATACAAAGAGCATTCTTACAGTAGTAGAATACTCTAATCAAATAAAAAATATAGATTATTATCTATATATATGATATTATATATATGGAGTCACGAATTGTAATGTACACAAAGGTATCACATTACTTTTACTTTTAACATAGAAAAATGAAACTGTAGATATACGATCAATTTAAAAATGAACAGGTTTGGTTCTAGAGGGCATTGCAGATCCAATTACAACATACATTTGACATATAGTAAGAGTTTCCTTTCCATAGACGGATAAAATACTTTTTCATATCAGCCAAAACTTTCTCTGTGCTTATCACATAATGAGATATCATAATTATGTAACGACTATATTCCTGACGATACTTAAAAATAAATTATTTCAGAAAAATTTTTTTGACAATCTTTAATATAAAATACTATAAAAACTTTATTTTTATATATGTAAAAACAAATATTTAATAATATCGAATACAAAGTATTATTTATTATATATAAGAATAAAAAATAATGTATAAATTCTATTTACTATATATATATGTAATATAAAATCATCAGATATTACATATTTATTAACACATCTTACATACAAAATAATTTCAATATAGAATTTAATTAAATGTAAACTTCATTATTAATTTTATATGTTGCTCGCAAGTGACGTAAACAACAGACCAGTGATTTCGAAGGTATCAACTCAGTCGTCCTTAATACGTCGAAGAGTGTGTGTCGTATTTTTATTTGTTAATATTTCTACGCTTATAATATTTTCGATTATTATACATTTTTTTAAAGAATATATTGTATAAATTTATTATCGCTATCGCTTGAATATAAAATAATTGTTTTATTTATTGGGTAATAATATATATCAATAATGTTAAGTTTACACTTTATATATATTAATAATAATTCATGATACACATACAAATAACTGAAAGGAAGAATATTGCACATGCATTTATTTGTTTTTATTTCTTTTAAAAAAGAAGACAATACATTACCTAAAATCAGTATTGAAATAAAAAGTTTTGACTTTTCCAAGAATTAGTGTGTGTGTATGTGTATGTGTGTGTATATCATCAGAAAATCATACGTTGAGATAGACACATATAATGTCTTTATAATGTGTTTTTTATGAATGCAATTGCAAACGAATTCAACATTCGTGTGTACGCAACAAGCAAATAAAAGATTTTTATATCATCTACTTTGATTTTGAAAACAAATATTTTCCAAGAAATTGTATAGCTAAATTTATGTAAATCAGTAATGTCCATAATAAATTAGTCGTAATCGAACTCGATTCCATGTGCATAATCTATACATTTATGTGCACAAATACATCTATCTATTTCGGTTTCTTTTTTTATAGTCCAGTCAAACATTTTCCGTGATTTTTGATTATTATATAATCATGATATTTTATTGAAATTATTAATTATATATTATTAAATATTGCATATAAATAAAAAAAATTTATATTTACAAAATAAATGTATAATAAATAATAATGAATTCTTTTATTATTCGATTTATTGCTGGTATATTTTTTGGCGCGCAATATGGAAAATAAAAAGAAGTGTTTTATGCGTGTATGGCGGGAATTCATTGTACTTAACTATTTAATTAGAATATAGATATTTATTTCTATAATATCGATTAATAAAATTTTTCATGATTTTATCATGATTTTATACTCTTAGATTTTATATTATACGTTATTTTCTAATGGTAGATGAAAAAAATAAATATGTTTGTTGACGTGTGACGTAACAATGGTGGGCTCTGACATGCATGGCAAAAATTGTTCAACTATTTTGGCGGTAGAAAAGACGCCATATTTATTTAATGATTATATCCTTCTCATAATTACAATTAGCATGCTTTCTTTTGACGTTTATTCTTTTATAATATAGTAATCGATTCTTTAAAGCAACAAATATCTTATTCGTTGCTTTAACAACAAGTCATGTTTAGAGGATATTCGTGAAAACGGGCGTTCCTTGCAAGGTTATTTATGTTAAAATAAATTTTGTGCACTTTCTTTCAAAAGGTATTCAATCCGATTGATTTAATTATTAAAAGGAGTTTTCATAATCACTTTTGTGAATAGAAAGATTATTTAATAATACAATAGTACAAATAAAATTATTGTGACGAAATAAATATCAATTTTTACGCCAATTTCATTTTAATTTAAATGATATTACATTTACTATATTAACTAACATTTAACTTCGTCCATTTTTCACTTACTAGCCATAACCATTTCGCCAATTTGTCATCTTTAGCTTCTTCAGAAATGTTAACAATTTCATTATTACTAAAACAAAAACAACAAAAAAGTTATATTATTTTTCTCAGTATATAGGGTATCCCATTACTATTACTCTTTTACTAAAAGATAGTGAAAGTAGTAAGTAAATAATAGTAGTAAGAGAGTGATAGTTTCTTAGCAGTATTTAAATTAAAATATCTCCTATGCTAATAATTTTTCTAAATATATGGGTTAATATTTTTCTATAGACAATGTCAAGCTGTATTGATCAATGCATCAAGAACATATGATACAATTTTAAAAAATATAATTGGCCTTCATATATCCTCTATGCGTCCACAGACAATATATCAAATTATACCACATTATGTGCTCTTTGAAACCATTCAACTTTTATATCCAATATTATTTTGTATTATCAATAGTTTTGCAGATATTCAAGGGAATTAATTTAAATGAGATACCTTTTATACATACACACATATATATATATATATCTATATATCTATATATATATAGATCTCACAGATATATTACTCACCTGAAATAAGAGCCTGTGATATTGTCAAGATTAGGATCTAATGCAACATATAAAATTGTTTGAGCTCCTTGTTTAGGTGACTTTATAAAAGGCCAAGTAAATGGTTTAATAAAATATTTAAACCAAAGATTTTTAAATAATGTCATGTGTCTTGTTATTTCTGTATCAACAATTCCTGGATGAACTGCATTAACTGTGACTTGTGTTCCTAAATAATATACTTGTTAATTCAAACGAATAAATGCTAGATATATTATCAAAGTTATAATACCTTTTAGTTTCTTTGCCAATTCTCTTGTAAATAAAATATTAGCTAATTTACTTTGTGCATATGCCTCATAAGGATCATAATTTTTCATACTATTTAAATCTTTGACTTGAAGTTTTCCCTTTAAATGTGCATTACTTGAAACATTTATAATTCTAGATGGTGCAGATTGTTTTAAAACGTCTAATAATAAATTTGTAAGTAAAAAGTGTCCCATATGATTTACTCCTAGTTGCATTTCAATGCCTTCTTTTGTATAACTTTTTGGACACCGCATTACACCACCATTATTAACAAGTATATCAAGTTGAGAATTTTCTGTATCATAAATACGAATATTAAAATTGATATGCCGTAACAGGTAATTAAAATATTTGACTATTACCATTTTTAAATCGAGTAACAAAAGTCCGTATACTTTCTTGAGATGCCAAGTCACATTTTCTACAATAAACAAGTTTATTTTTGGTTTCAATGACAATTTCTTTACGTGCCTAAAATAATAAGATAAATTAATAAACTTTTTATCAAAACTAATATATAATACATATAATAACATTTACAATTTATGAATACCTGTTCACATCTATTTTTATTTCTACAAGCTAAGATAACTTTCGCGTTCCGTGCAGCAAATGCACGAGCTGTTTCTTTTCCAATACCAGAATTAGCACCGGTAACAATGATAACTTTACCTTCTAAATTCTCTTTTCCTTCATATTTTTTCCCACCAAAATAATCTCTATAAATAACAAAAAAAAATTTATATAATACTTGTAAAATCATTTAATAAATATCTTAAAATAAAATTATTTACAGTCAAATTGAATATATTTTTCAAATACAACATAATGCAATTCAAGATAAAATTATATAAAAATCTATTACTTTGTTAGATATACTGCACCAACTGTAGTTGCAATCATTGATGCATAATAAACTGGTTTCGAAATTGACCATCGCATTATTAAATGTTAGAAATAATGAAAACAATTTTTCTTATATTATATTATATATTTCTTATATTATATTTTTATTAGCTTTAACTCGTGCAATCACCACCGAACACATGTACATATATATATACAAATATATATGTGATCATACACGAATGTGGATAAATTATAAGAATCACAACAAATTAATTGAATAAATTTGTTTTATTTGATAAAAACACACAATATTCTTTAAATAACAATCAGTATATTATATTTTCACCGGATACAATATAAAATTATAATTGTAAATAATAAAAATTCCATCAGATGGCAGTTAATCCGTTTTATAGTAACATGAGCCATTACTCCATATCTTAAAATTTGTTTGTTATTGAATGGTAGAAGAGTGTCTTTTGTTGTTAACATTCAGTATATAAAACTGATTAACTATGAAGCCGACTCTTGTGGCAGATGAAATGTTTCCGGAAGGTGCAGGATCATACATAGAACTTGAAGAGGTAATTATATTATAACAATATAGTTTATGATGTTCAAAATGTTAATAATTATAATTTATTATATATTTATGATATTTATGTATATATATATATATATATATATATATAATCATAAAAAATAATTATATGATTGTATGCAATTACTTTTTATCACACATATTTTATTTCATAAAATTATAACATATTTTTAGGTTGGTGGTAGTCGTTTATTAGTAGACCTTACAACCAGTGAGAAGGCGGTACATGCAGACTTTTTTAATGGTATGAACATGAAGTATTTTTAAACACATCTAATGTTTTCTTGTAATAAATTAAATTTTAATTCATAAATTTATTATAATTTCAGAGTTCGATGATCTCTTTGATGATGATGATTTAGATTAAAGGACTTTAAAAATTACCTAATCATTGTATACAGTAGATAAAAAGTTTAATGTTATAAAACTTATTCAGTTATTGATTAACATCACCTGCTTCTTCAAGTCAATTTTTTATTGACAATGGAGAATATATTCTTGTAAGTTAGAAGAGTACTGTTATTTTAATGTAATAAACATTAAGTTCATATATTTTCATTTCTTGTTTTAAAGATTATAGTTTTGACAAACTATATAACAATTTTATAATAAAACTAATCATATTTTGTATCTTGTAACTAATGATATATATAGAATTGTTTTTGTTTTTTTTTGTGATAGAATAATTATTAAGTCAAAATTATAAATTATCAATACATGTCTATATATTTAGAAACCTTTCATTTGCACCTGATTCCAATTGTATATTACAATCAATTGTGTCAATGTCATTACTTTAAGTTACTTGGACAGGTAACCTTATGAATAAACATTTACACTAAAAATTAATAAAAAATAGAACAATAGCATTATGACAATTTATTTATACTTCAAAATCGAGTCAGACGTATTCGCATTTAGCATACTGGACTTCACCGTGTATCACTGATGATAATTATTATAAACGTGCCATAAGAAAATGAGTACTGGTCTTAATATTTTATACACATATTAATGTAGGTATAAGGCTAAGATTATAATTTATTATACATAGGTGCTAGTCATATAAATCTGCAAATCAATGCACAGTCAATGGTTTTTTGACATTATATATGTTTTCAAAATTAGAATCACTTCTTGTGCATTGAACTGGTTTCCTAATATGAAAAGAGCCTTGCTGATATATTTAGGCGAAGTAATTATGTATTACTTTTTTCCATTTGCCTCCAATCGATGTATTTTCCTCTTGACCATTCTCATTTACTTTATCAGATTATATGTATCGATGATAGTAAGGATTAATTAAAAATCCTTGATTACTATTATACACCTACATAATCTTGATCGACATGGTGAAGACTCTGGTGATTGGGGCGGTAACGACGATGTCAGTGGTGATATTGATAATGATCACGTTGACACCACTGAAGAAAATAATGAATATCCTGAAATTATAATTATCTGTATCTATAAATTAAATGAGCACATTTCTGATGAGATGTACATATTTTTTAAAATTAACTATGATTCATAACTTCTTAATAGAACTAAATATTATATTACAAATAAAATTATGGATAAAAAAGAAGTCTAGAATAATAATTATTTATGTTAAATATTGACTCATTGTAGTATACTATGTTAGATTAAAATATTCAAAGTTATTTACATAATGACGTAACGAACCCTGAGTCCAGCCTTGGGAAGTTTGATCCAGGTGCTAGTTAACTTCTAGATCACTATCAGCTTGATCATCCTGATCGCTCTCTTCTTCATCATCTTCTTCTTCTGAATAATATTGAGACGGTGGTGAAAGAGCATCTTCAGATAACGAAGTATGTGATGAAGAAGGTGGCCTAGAACCTTCTAATTTAACTTCTAGGTCTTCCATAGAAGTACTAGGACCAGGTATAGTGACTGGGATGAATTTTTCCAGATCACCTGATGCTAATTCTAAAATAATAAAATTTGTACAATGTTGAAATAATTCATTTATTTGTTATCTCACTTTTAAATACGTACGTTCCACATATTTTTCAAGCGATTTAGGAACCATCAATTTTGCAGTCCGTAAATTCTCCTCGGAACAGTTACCTTTTTCTAGGCCTAAAAATATAAATTTTTGTTGATAGTATATATTTATAAATAATATAATTTAATATATAATTACTTAATATTTTATAATTACCAAAGGCCAAACCCATTTGTTTTAAAACCTCAATGTCATCATGAATTTCAAACTTATCATTAAAATTAAACAGGTACTCAGTTCTGCAACAATAAAATATAAAGAGATAATATAATCTCTTGGATTTTGTAAATGCAATAAAAAGTTTAAAAATATTATTATAAGCATAATGTAAGGTTAGTGAAATATACTTGTCGTTTGAAATGCTGCAATCTATGACAGTCTTTTTGCTGGTATTCACTATGAGGAATGGCAGCTGTATGGCAGAATTAGGTTTTGGTGGTCCGCGAAGACTTTCATTTAAACGATTACGTTCTACCAGATTTTTAAATGAAATATGTGAAAGAATGAGTTGATGAAGTTGTTGTGTCTTTGCTTTAATTTTTTCAATTTTCTTTTTCTTATCTTTTTCTAGTGCTAAACACTCTTGTAATGAATTAGTTGGTAAACCTAACCACCGAATTTCTTTCTTTTCTTTGGAAATAATATTCATTGCCATTAATACATTTAAAGCATCATATACACGTCTCCTTATATTTTTTTGATCATATTGCTGAAAAAAAAAACAAAATTATAATTATATTATTTATTTAAAAAAAATTATTCATTATATATTACCTAGTGTCATAAAAATTTACCTGATCTGTTAATGAGTTTATATGTGCAGGATTAGTAAATTCTCCTACTAATTCATCCGCCACTTCATTATACGACGTGGTGCCTTTTTTTTTTACTTTTTCACATACTTTCATCGAAAAATGGCGTAGACCTTTCCCTACTTTTTCCGTTTTCCTTCTTTTGCTAGAAACATAATTACGAAATAATTTTAGCAAATAATATTATTTCTGACAATAAAATACACACAGAAATTATTTTAGATAAGAATATTAATGTAAATAATACAGTACTCAGGCACAAAATCACTTTCTGTATCTTGTCGTTTTCTAGAACCACTATGATCCAATATTGGACTAATAAATGTTTTCCCTGATACATCTTTAACAAGCTGTTGATTACTACTTTGCTGTTGCTGAGATACTATTGCCTGTTTTATATCACTCTGAAACAAAATTACAATTATTACAGAAAATGATAATAATATTCATATGAAGATGTTTATATTATATGAATTGGATAGATATATTTATATCATTTGAAATATTATATAAGTGATTCTTTTATGAAATTCTCAGGGAATATTATGAGATATCAATAGAGAAAAAAAAGCATAAAAACTAAGACTTCTATGAATGTAAGAATATTTTGAAATATTGTTTACCATTTGAGCCGATGTTAACTGTATTGTTTTTGTTACTACAGGATCTCCAGGTTTAGTAGTATTTAACTTTGTATTTTGCAAAGGTATTGTCACCAATCCTACAAAGAATAATATAAATTAGTAATGAAAATTAAATAATCGTTGCTCTAATGACGAATTAAACTTGCTCACTCTGACCAGGGGTTGAAGAACTTTGTAGACTAATAGTTCTGAGGACTTGTGCATTTGGTGACAGAACCTGATAATTATATACGTTTAAACAAAATGTATACAATATATACAACATATATGTTACATTCGAAATAGAAAAATAACATAATGTTAATAAAATTATAAATAAATATAACATAAAGTATGTATCAGTTATTATTTACCTGTGGTTCTTGACTTGGTGTTTTAAAAACTTTAAAACTACCAGTATTCGCTGTGCTGATAATACCACTTAATGATTTATTGGGTGTACTTTGTACAACCTTTATCACCTGTGGATGGCCTGCAAGAGTTTTTAATATTACAATTTTTTTCATTTTATTAACCTATTTATATCATAGATATTTTCATAAAAATTGACTCAAAATGAACAAATAATGGATAAAATAAGGGATAAGAAATAATGTATAATCGAAGATTAAATTATGTTCTGTGAAACGTACTTTAACTTGCTTTTTAAAATAATTATATATATATGTGTAAATTGCTCTATTGCGTTACTTTATTAATAATATTAAGTCAATTAGATTAAATAAAATTTTAAAATATGCATTTCTATATAATATTCTCTCTAATGAAAGTAATAAAGATTATTTAACAAAAAGTGTACTATTGAAAGATATATACTCAGTTTATTTAATATTAAGAATATCAAATCATAATAATGAAATAATATAATCTCTATAAATACAATAAACAAATAAACTATGTATACAAAGAAACATATAATGCAAAGAAACAGAACTAGAACATTTTTTTTTGATACTAACTCGCTATGGTGATACTAACTCGCTTATTCTTTATTACATTAAACTAAACTACATAAAATCTGCAAATTTGATAAAATTAACTTTCCTTTTATTAAGTAAAATTAAATGTATGTAATTTCTAATTAGAATTAACTTAAAGGAACTATTTGATTTGGTGTATCTTATTTATATCAAGTTGCAAAGATAAAATTGTTATTTCGATTGATACTCATTTTATTTTTTTATTTACCTTTGTATGAAAAAGGAATATATTCATATAAAAAGCATTTACACAATTTCTTGAGGACTTATATATGCTTTATTGTTTGCAAGGAGAAAATGAATGTACAGACTATCACTAGTCTAAAATAACTCGTACGTTTGTACATATATTTATCATTGATCAGATTTTTTACCATATATATTTTCACAGTATATATCATGTACATTATAAGGAAAGCCAGGCTTAACGTTTATTTGAAGAAATGAATTTTGAATTTTATTTTAATACAAGAAAAAGTAAAGAAATGTACAATCTTATAATGTGCATAAAGAAAGGAAAGACAATAGAAAATATTCCATATGACTCGGATATAAACATACGTTTGGGAAAGACTTCAAATCATTAGAAGTGCACGTTGATCAAGGACTAGGAATATCTTCCAATATTAAAAACTAGTGCAACGTGTTGTGTAGTATATCGAAAAACACATGCCGACTGTCGGCGCATTCTTAGATAACTTACCATTGGCGTCATGTATTAAGAAATTCATCGTTTTATTTTGTTGTGTCATCTCTATAATTACTGCGTTCGTTCGACGTCGGAAACGATCCCACAGATCGCCCAAATACTAAGCCAAAATAAAAAGATCATAGGTACACTTGCAGGCTTAGCTTGCCGTATCACCAAAATGGCGACACTTGTGACACAAATCTTAGAATGCTATCGAGGATAAATTGAATCCTACGCACGAAATATTACAGTTGGCTGATTGTTGTATATTATAAATTATCCATCCCTTTTAATATTCTACTGCTGCATAGTAAAGTAATTGGAAGTTGCAGATTCGCATGCACATAGGACCACGGACGTCAGACGAGCTTGGCTTGGCGGCAGGACAATGTTAAACAGCTGATTGGTTGTCGATGATCACATGGTTTTACCTTCCCCCACCAAACTACCTTAGAAGAGCACATGCGACCGCGCCGAAAGGCGCTTCATCGATGTAATGCGCGTCACGTAGTCACATCTTACGAACATGAGTGCGCTAAACTGAAGAAACTTTTAATAGGATAATAAATATGTTTTCATTTTCATATTGATTAGTTAAAATAAGTACTTTTTTAGTAGTTTATTCGAGTCTTTTGTTATATTACATATTAAAGGCCTTCACACAATCATCAACATAAGATATAATACGTAAACCGTCAGGAAATCCACCAATCAGAATTGACTATTTCCCTCTACATTTTCTGACGCAAGACATAAACCGTAACGTTGAAAAATTTCGTGAAGATCTTTGCAGTGGCATCGACATAAGACGTAAACCGTAAGTCGTAGTACGTAAACGGTATCGTATACGATTGTCATAAGTTATAAACTTTGACCAATTACAGTTATCGTCGAAGAAATTGCGCGAAAATATAATTCTTAAGTGTGCTGCCTGGTACTATTTTCATTTTTGTATTGTGTTTATGTTTTATTAAAGCATAAAACACAATGCTTTTGATAATTTCAATCTCAATTTATGAATACACAATATTATAGTCCGTGTATTATTCATATTCATAAAATTTCAAATGTAGAGTTTAATTGCGGGAAAGTATGTGATTGATTGAACATAAGACGTAAATTGTAAAAAGTTCATCCTTACGAAATACCTCTACAATTTATATCTTGTCTTGAAAAATGTAAAGAGGAATAATTGACTCTGATTGGTGAATTTCCTCACGGCTTACGTTTTACATTGGTACGTGTGTGAAAGGCCTTAAGGTCCTTAACAGCAAATTCCATCGAAGAAACGGTAATGTATTAGTTTTTTTATTTTATAATTTTTTTCTAATGATACGTATTCGTACGATTCGAATGATGAAAAAATGTATATGTTTTTGAAACGGTATTCTTTAATATAAATGTATAGTATTTGCGACTGGGAAAGTTTACGTTTTCCATTGTACTGATTTATGTTTGATAACGTCGGAAAATATATGTACTTCCTAAAAATATCGATTAAGAAAAAAACAAAATAGATAAATATTATATGATATATATTGATTGAAAAGATACTCTATCATATTTAATTATAATTTTATATTAATTGATAATATATATTAATTATCTTTTTAATACGAATTATGTTCTGTATTGCAGCTGAATAATATAGAAAAAAAAATAAAATAAAAGATGTGTGAATATTACACATGAATAAAGAATGCTGTTAATAAAATACATTAATAAATATTCAATTACAACAATTATTAAATGGAATACGATTTCGATGAACAAAGATTCATTTTAAAGATAAAGGTTTAAACAAAGAGATGATCTTTTCTAATTTTTGAAAAAGTTTTTTTTATAAAAAAGAAAAAAAATAGTGTCAAATGATGATATTTCTTTTCGACAATAACTTTCTTTTCAATTTCAAAGGGTAAACATTGAAATTCTTATTACCATATGATTATATTTAAACAATTAATACTTTCACTTATTATCGATTTTTTTTTAAACATTATACATATGATAAAAATAAAATAATTTAAGTTTAATATTTCCATAGGCATAAATTTTGAAATCGGTGTTATTACATCATAAAGTCAATAAAATTGGTTTTTTGATTGATTTTGATAGTTCAATATTTCAATGTACTCACATGGCTGTTTCATTCGGGATACACGAGTAAGTATTTGTAAGTGCAATAGGATTTAATTTTGGGTTGTCGCAAAAGCACGATTTGTCGTATTCAATTAGTGATTGGAGCTTGCGATATTGCGATGGTGAGCTATGCGTAAGCCGAATATACGGTTATGCTCGGATTTGTAATTTTATCATTTGAGACCTGATTTTTCGTGAAATGACGATCATCTCATTGCTTTGATTTTTTAATAATAGTAGTAGTAATAGTAATAGTAGTAATAATAATAGTAATAATATAAAAAGTAGTGTCACCATTAGCCCGTGGGTTTCCACATGCAGTAACCTCCCCGTGGTGAGGTCGGTAGTGCTTTCTATATATCGAAATCTTATGAGATCCAAGTACTACCGAGCAAATGCTTGCATATTTCAAGAATATTATTTCAATCCAATTCCAATTAAACATTAAAGTATTTATTTACATTAAACATTAAAGTACTACTTTACATTGTCAATCATACTTCAATAGATAAATGGATTGGATATATTAGAATTCTAAAATAATTTCTTAAAGAAATGCACAGAAAATTTTTCTATCCTACTCATGCTCCTCATTTTTTCTATTTATCTATTCTTATTAATTATTATATATAAGTATCGGGTAGGATCCATGGGTGGAATCCTTGGAAGGGTCTTGGGTGGGTTTCCTTCTTTCAGTTAGAAAAATCGAGCTCGATTTTTGGTACTCTGATTTCGGTTGGACATATTGAATTACCGTTTCAATACTTGAAATGGTATTCAGTATGTCCACCTCTCATTCTGAGTTCCATCATTTTCATGTGCGCGCATGTTTCGGTTTTATTTTCTACTTTTTCTCTTCTTCTCTTCCTCTTCTTTTTTAATTTCGATTATAGAGGTCCAGATTCTTGTGGTTTGGTTTTTGACCAGTAAGGATTCGGTTTGGTTCATCATCGAGGACTTTACACGCGAATACGGCTAAAATAGGGAGAATACTCGCGCTTGCGTTGGCGGACGCAGGCATGGATATTCGCGAGCGCGATTAAAAGCCGTACGATGATGGGCTTCGTTTGATTGCTTGTTCGAGTCAGTCGTGTTAGAGAGTAATATATTGTAGTTGCCGATGTTGCGACGGTCCTGTTATCTATAAGCAGGGACTGACCCTCCTTCAGATAACGTTGGAAGCCAGAATTCTCTGGGTAGCTCATTCATCCCGAGAATGCGGATTTTAGAGTAGAGTCACCGTTATTATAAAGCTCACGTAGGTGTCCGCGAGCGATTAAAGATCCTACCGTGGGCTCTCTTTTATTGTTCGAAATTTTGATTAGAAAATTACGAACGCGGATCTTAAATCGTTTCTGTGGATGTTGTAGTGATTGTTTTTTAGTTGTTGTAGTTGTAGTGGTTGTTTTTGTGGTTGTTGTAGTGGTTGTTTTTTAGTTGTTGTGGTTGTTGTAGTGGTTGTTTTTGTGGTTGTTTATTAGTTGTTGTGGTTGTTGTAGTGGTTGTTGTGGTTCCCCCTGTGGGTAGGGGGTTAGAATACTCCCACAGTATTCCCTGCTTGTCGTATGAGGCGACTAAAAGGGATTGTATGAATGGTGTATGAATGTTCTCGTATGGCTATTCCTATCTTTACTCTTCTATCACTCTCTTTTCTACTCTTTGCTCTCTATTGCTTCCTTCCGTTCCTTTCTTTTCCCTTGGGGAGCCTGGCTCCCTTATATTAAAATGAAAAATATGATGAGTACGACGAATGGGATAAGCGGGCATGGGAGGGATACCCATGCCACGGCGGTGTCAGGTGGTGGTAGGGCAGGCCACCCGCCGTCGTCAACCAACGACTGCCAGGAGTTTGGGGTAGGCAACCTGGCCCCAGCTCTGGATAATGCGTCAGGAAGTGCATCGCAGGTAGGCGACCTGGCCTGCGGTGTGTCTAATGCGTCAGGAAGAGCAGGTAGGGATGAGGGCCACCTGGAGGAGTGGCAGAAGGCTGCTAGGGCGGCTGAAGGCATGCGTTTTGCCGGACTCACCATCAAACGGGAGACGCGGAAGGCGAAGCGTGCGAGGCCCGTAGTGTACTCGTCCGAGGAGGATGAGTCGGTGTTAGACTGGCCCGTGCTGGGGGAAGGAGGACGAGCGGAGACCCCTGCCTTGTCTCAGGTGGAGACTGGTAGGGTGATCGACACGCTGAAGGAGGCCTCCATCGATGCCGAAAGAGCCAGGCTGAGATGCCGGAACCTCAAAGAAGACATCTCGGGGGTAATGAAGAGGACCCATAGAATAACTATGGAGGGACTCAAGACCCTGAGAGTTAGGCTCCAAAACCGTGAAGATGATCCTCCGTCGGCGAAGGAAACAATTGCGCAGCTGAAGGCTGAACTGAAAGCCATGGAGCTGCGCAACAAGGAAGTGTCAGAGGAGAACACCCGCCTCAAAAGGGTAATCAAGAGGATGGAAACTCCCTTGGTTGCCAAAACGAAGGATAGGACCCCGGACGCAAGGCATTCAGACGGGTCGGTGAAGGCACTGGCGGAGGCTGTCCGCAGTGTGCAGCAACAGCTGCAGCAAGTACAGCAGCAACAACAGCAACAACTGCAGCAAGTACTGCAACAGCTACACCAACAGCCGCAGCGGCAACAGCAGCAGCGTCAGCCGCAGCGGCAACAGCAGCAGCGTCAGCCGCAGCGGCAACAGCAGCAGCGTCAGCCGCAGCCGCAGAGACAACAGCAGCAGCAGCAACAACAGCGGCAGCAGACGCTGAGTGGAGCAGCGACTGGGGCTGGTGGACCGCACAGGGGCCCCACACTCCGTGCTGAGTCCACTAGACCTCCTGCGAAGCAGGTAAGTGTAGGTAAGGCACTAACCCCGCAGGATGATTTTGTCCAGGTACTTGGCCGTAAGAGGAGGAGGGTCCGGAGGAGAAAAGCTAATGTACTCTCCCTGGCTGCATCAAGGGATGTAGTCAACGACGCTCAACCCTTGCGGGTACAGGCGCCCTCCAAGAAGAAAAGGAAGGGGAGAAACCGTGCGCAACGACGGAGGAGGAAGTTGCAAAGGGAAAGAGAAGTCGCAGCAATTTCCCTATCCTGTACCGAGGAGACGACGTACAGGGATGCACTTGTGCGGGCCACGGAAGGAATCAACCTGAAGGACCTGGGAATTGGCACCATGTCCTGCAGGAGAGGACTTACAGGTGCCTTTATATGGCAGGTACGAGGCAAAGGGGCAAATGCGAAGGCCGACCGGGTGGCGGAGGCCTTGAGGAATGCTGTCCCAGGGGCAAAAATCACCCGCCCCCTTCGTACGAGCACCATGAGGCTGGTGGGATTGGACGCGTACGCCAATGGTACCGTCATAAGGAACGCACTTTTGGAGATGCGATCTGGAACGGACCCCAACCTCATTAAGGTCGGAGAGATCAGGATTGGCAGGGGCAGACTTGGTGAGGCCACTGTCACGGCTCCGATGCCTGTTGTCAGAGCGGCCCTGGAAAGGGGCAGAATAGACGTGGGACTCACAAAGGTGAGAGTGCACGAACTCAGGCAGCGGCCCCTCACATACCACCGGTGCCTTGCGCGAGGACATGTCGTGGCAACGTGCCCGGCCACAAAGTCTAGGACAGACTTGTGCTACATCTGTGGGAAGCCGGGCCACGTGGCCAAAGCATGCACGGACAAGGTGGCGTGCCCGGTTTGCACAGATGCTGGCCGGAAACAGACTAACCACCGAGCCGGTTCCTGGGAGTGCCCGGTTGTGCTTCCCAAGAAATGGGTGGACAAGGTGTTCGTGAGGGCACCAAATGGTGGTCCGGAAACAATGACAAACAGGAGAAGTGTAGTGACAGGGAAAGGGACCCATAGAGGAATGTCACAGGATGACATGGAGGTGGAACAAGGGGTACCGAGCACCTCAATAGTGGTAGAAACAGCGGAGAGTCTATAGACAATGTTCTCTGCTGTTCTACAAATTAACACAAACCACGCGCGCCGTGCACAGGACTTGCTGGCACAGCGCATGCGCGAGGACAGAGTAGAGCTGGCGATCATTGTGGAACCATGGTGGGTTCCTCCGGGGGATGAGAGGTGGTTCTCATCCCTAGGAGGGACTTCACTCTCCGCGGTGCTTGTGGGCGAAAGTAGAAGACCCTGTAGCCTTGTGCGTAGGGGCCTTTTCTATGTAGCCGTTAAATGGGGGGACTCGCTGGTAGTCTCGGTTTACTTTCCTCCCAGCGAGAACATAATTATGTTTAGTAGACTCCTTGATGAACTTGAGGAGCTTTTAGAAGCATTTCCCGCTCTCCCAGCGCTGGTGGCTGGCGACTTTAATGCCCGGTCCAGCAGATGGGACCCAGAAGGCAGGAGTAACCGGAGAGGTGAGTTGCTCTGTGCCTGGGCCAATAGATTGGATCTGGGTCTGCTGAACCGGGTTGGCTGTCCTACGTGCGTTCGACCACAGGGGTCGAGCGTCATAGATCTAACGTGGGGCACGTCGGCGGCTGGCGTCCGCCTCTCGGACTGGAGAGTGGATGAGGCTGAGTCCCTGTCGGACCACCTACATATTAGATATAATTATAGGCACGAAGCTACAGAGGTCCGAAACTCTTGCCCACAGGAGAAAAAGTTTCCTCGCTGGAAGATTAACTCCCTGGATGAGGACTACTTGGCGGCGGCCCTCATCTCGGGGGAGTGGACGGGTGGAATTGGATGCGGGAGAAGTGCGATCGGTGCGGACTGTGTGGACAAGATGGTGAAGTGGGCACAGTCTACACTGAAACAGGCGTGCGACACGGCCATGTCCCGGGTAAGGGGACAAACCCGTGGTAGAAGAAGTACTTACTGGTGGTCGGACGAACTAACGAACCTTAGGGCCGTTGCGACGACCACAGTAAGGAAACTTTCCAGGTCCAGGAAGAAAAAAAAGAACGGCGATGAAATAGTGCGGTGCCTGGACGCTCGAAGGAACGCAAGGAGGGCACTGTCTAGGGCTATTAAAGTGGCCAAGAGGAACTCATGGAGGGACCTGCTGGACTCCATAGAGGAGGATCCATGGGGAAGACCCTACAAACTGGTCTTGGGGAAACTAAGGCCATATGCCCCACCAGTAACCGAAACCATGGAGGAGGAGGTACTGGAAAAAATCCTCTGTGAGTTGTTCCCAGGAGGACCGGGAGTTGAAGAGCCGCAGGAACCTACGCTATCGGAGGTAACTATCTCTGAAGAGGAGGTCTTGGCTGCTGCCCGGAAAGGAAGAGGAAGAAAGGCTCCTGGACTGGATGGAATACCGGGTGTGGTTGTGCGTGCTGCGTCGATACACTGTGGGAAAGGGTTGGCGCAGTGCTTTTCTGCATGCCTCAGCACAGGAAAGTTCCCAACAGCGTGGAAGATAGTGAGGCTCGTCCTTATCAAAAAGAAAAGGGACGCGCCCCCGGACTCATCGGGATCATATAGACCCATATGCGTGATTGGCGAACTGGGGAAACTATTCGAGCGGATAGTCGTTGGCCGGATCAACAACTATCTAGAGGAGACTCGTACCCTGTCGTCATCACAATATGGGTTTAGGCCGGGAAGATCCACTGTGGATGCCGTCCTCGATGTTAAAAACTTCGTGGAGGCATCGACGCGGATCGGGAAGGTGGTTATCCTGGTGAGTCTGGATATCTCGAACGCCTTCAATTCCTTGCCGTGGACTGTGATCGTTAGGGCTATGGAGCGTGGAAAATTTCCACGTTACATAGTGGACATCATAAGGAGTTACCTGGACAAACGCGCCATAGCATACACGAACAAGTATGGACGCGTCGTGAAAAGACAGGTGTATTGTGGGGTCCCACAGGGATCCGTTTTGGGCCCTACGTTGTGGAACATTGCCTATGACAGTGTCCTCCGAATCCCGATGCCAGGTGGCTCCCGTGTTGTCTGCTATGCGGACGACACGGCCCTCCTGTCATCGGGATGGGACCTGTCGCAGGCCATCGTGAACGCCGAGCAGGACCTGGAAGTCCTGGTAAGGGAGATCGAGGGATTGGGCCTTAAAGTGGCGCCACAAAAGACGGAGGCCATGGCCTTCCCTGCCTCTGCCTTCTGCAGACGCAGGAATGTCTCACCCCCTAAGATTTGCCTTAGAGGGGTTCGCGTAGAGGTCAGAACCAGTGTGAAATACCTGGGCATTGTGGTAGACTCAAAAATGTCGTTCAGGCCCCACTTTGAGGCCGTAATTCCAAAAGCCGAGGGTATCCTTCGGCACCTTGGAAGGCTCCTTCCGAACCTTCACGGACCGGGCGAGAGGAAGCGGCGCCTCTATAGCGGCGTGATCCACTCGGTGCTCCTATATGGGGCACCGGTGTGGTGGCGCGCCATTGTGGAGGATACGCGAATCGGGCGGGCTGTGCGGAGCCTCCAAAGGAAGGTGGCGATCCGGGTGTGTTGTGCCTATAGGACGATCTCCTTCCATGCGGCTATGATGATCGCGGGGATTATTCCTCTCGGTCATTTAGCACCCCAGCTGGCGGAAACGTATGCGGCCTTTAGAGGCGCGGAGGAACCTGTTTCTCCGCGCACTAAGGCTGTATTGGGTACTCTTGCCAGAAGGAGGGCAATAGAGGCATGGAAGGCTGAGGAACTAGAGTTTATCGGGTCCCCAGAGGCAACGGGAGTGCGCACGAGGGCGGCCATTGCCGAATGGTTGGCTGAGTGGATTGGAAGGCCGTTCTCTATCGGAACGACATTTCATACCACGCAGCTGATGACCGGTCATGGATGTTTCTCGGCGTATTTATATGGAATAAGGAAAATCCCCTCCCCACGTTGTTTTCACTGCGAGGGGAGTGAGGATACGGCGGAACACACCCTGATCGACTGCCCGGCGTGGATGGATGCCAGGAATGAATTGATCGCCGCGATGGGGGGAGGTCAGCTAACCCTTCCCGAGATAGTCAGGGTTTCCCTGACTGTCCCGGGAGGATGGGCGGCCTTTCGGACCTTCGCTGGACGGGTTATGCGCGCAAAGGAGGACGCTGAAAGGCGCAGGGAACGGTTGCGTGCAGATGATGGATGTGTGAATGAGCGTGTGGGTTCGTACGCGGATGGGAGCGCGAACGATTGGCCGCATAGGAGAGTGATTCCAGTGCGGCCACCTCGGGCAAGGCTCCGAGCAGCTCAGGCGGCGCCTGGCTCAAGCGTCGCTCCTTTATAGTCGGTAGTTCGTATAAACGAAGATGAGTGGGCCTGGTCAGAGCACCATGGGGTGGAAATCGGGCCAATATGTATATAGTCAGGGAGTATTTTGCGTCTCCAGGAGCTCGTTGGCCCCTGTCGAGTGCGCTATAGTGGTGTGAATGTGGATGTATGGATGAATGAGAGCAAGGCGAATACCGGCCTGGCTCACCGAGGAGGGGTGGTGGGTGAATTTGTAATACGCATATGTGTAATCCCGCCCACCACCTTGTTTCCTCAGCGCGTTAGTTATAAGAATCGGGAGGTTTTTTAGTCGGTAGGCGACCCGTTCCTGGGAGCATTCCCAGGCGGGCTGAATCCGACACTCCTCTGAGTACCGGGCTCAGAGGGCCTATGAAGGTTTTTCCTCCTGACGAAACAAAAAAAAAAAAAAAAAAAAAAAAAGTGGTTGTTGTGGTTGTTGTAGTGGTTGTTTTTTAGACGTTGTAGTTGGTTGTAGTGGTTGTTTTTTAGTTGTTGTGGTTGTTGTAGTGGTTGTTTTTTAGACGTTGTAGTTGGTTGTAGTGGTTGTTTTTTAGTTGTTGTGGTTGTTGTAGTGGTTGTTTTTTCCCCCAGAAAAAGAGGGAAGAGGAGTGGCGCGCAGGGAAGAAAGAAGAGGAGGCAAAAGGAAAGAGAAGTCGCTGGAATTTCCCTATCCTGTACCGAGGAGACGACGTACAGAGACGCACTCCTCCGGGCCAGGGAGAACATCAACATAAAGGACCTAGGGATCGGCAGCATATCGTGCAGAAGAGGCCTCACGGGTATGTTTTGGTATTTATATGGCTGGTACAAGGCAAAGGGGCAAATGAGAAGGCCGACCGGGTGGTGGAGACCTTGAGGAGTGCTGTCCCAGGAGCGAAAGTTACTCGCTCTTTGCACACGAGCACCATAAGGTTGGTGGGACTGGATGCGGCCGCTAACGTGACCGTCATTAAGAACGCGCTGCTGGAGGTGCAATCCGGAACGGACTCAACCTCATTAAGGTAGGAAAAATCAGGATTGGCAGAGGTAGACTAGGCGAGGCCACTGTCTCGGCTCCGGTGTCCGCCATCCGGGCGGCCCTGGAGAGGAGCAGGATAAATGTGGGTTGAACATTGGTGAGGGTGCATGGACTCAGGCAGGGGCCCCTCAGATGCCATCGGTGCCTGGCGCGAGGACATGTTGCTGCAATGTGCCCTGCTACAAAGCCTAGGACAGACCTATGCTACGTCTATGGAAAACCGGGCCACCTGGCCAAGATGTGCACGGATAAACCTGAGTGTCCGGTTTGTGCAGACGCTGGCCGGAAGCCGACCAACCACTGTGCCGGTTCTTGGGAGTGCCCGATAGTGCCTCCTAGAAAATGGATAGACAAGGTTTTCGGGAGGGCACCAAATGATTGCCCTGAGACAATCCGAGAGAATCCGCATAAGGTCGCGGAAAAAGCAGCAGCGAGGACAGTGAGAGTGACTGAGAAGAGGGAAGTGCATGAAGACATGGAGGTGGAACAAGGTGAACCGGGCACCTCAATAGGTGTAGTAGCAGCGGAGGGTCCATAGACAATGTCCTCTGCTGTTCTACAGATAAACATAAAACACGCGCGCCGTGCGCAAGACTTGCTGGCACAGCGCATGCGCGAGGATGCATGAGAGAGGAGATTGCGGTCATTGCGGAACCATGGTGGATTCCTCCGGGGGATGAGAGGTGGTTCTCATCCCTAAGAGGGACTTCATTCTCCGCGGTGCT